GCAGGTAAGTATAGACATGTTTGTTATTTTTTCTTAAAAAAAATAAGCCTTTAGAATCACTTTAACTTAGTCACATTTCAAAGAGCCTGCTATCTTAGGGACAGCCGACACCAGTACACAGGCATTTCTCAGAGCTGTAAATATCTAATTGAAGTTCTGACAGGATGTCTGTTAATTTCTGCTGACCATAAAAAATCTACGGATTAACACTTCCCTTTGACCTATCATAAGACTATTGCAAAATCCTTCAGTTCTGTCACTTGTACTATGTGCGACAATCAAATCCATTAAGAGTACATAGCGTGACATAAAATGACTACCTAGAACTAATGGGTATCATAAAAAAAGGTAGTCAGGGTCAGAGGCGACCTTTCAGAGACCTCTGCCCTGTTCACAATTTAACAAAATCTACACAGAATTCATAAAATCAGACAGAAGCATGACACTTTATTAAGTATATATTTGAATGGGGAATATCAAATCAAGGTCATACATGTTTAAACTAGAGCATACAGAAGGGCAGATAGCAGTCTCCTACCTCCTGGGTGACAGGCCCATTTAATATACTCTTTGTTTGGTATCCCTGGACACAAAATACAGTATAATGCTGAACAATAATCTACCAGTTTCCAGAATGCAACCTGTACATATTAGAAGATAATAATAGTATTATAAAACTGTGTGTAAGGGAAGGCCATGATACGGTCATAAATGTGGTGACATCCCAGCAACCACCCCCTAGACCAGAAGATTGGTTAGATGGTCTCTGTCAACACTCCCTTGATGTGAAGAAAAGTGGAATGATTCCACATTTTGACAGCTCTTGTTTAACATCAAACCAAGGAACATCTAACTGGACTTGAGAGAGCCACTGTACCACCTTTGCTTATCCATTGGACTCTGCTGAAACCAGGACATTGTTTCCCTCAAACTCCCTTTTCATTTCTCTTTTGAATTGTTGTCACTTTGTTACTTTGTAATATCTGTGTGTTTTTTTACCATTTCATTCTTAACCACTTGTCTACTGGACACTTATACCCCCTTCCTGCCCAGGCCAATTTTCAGCTTTCAGTGCTGTTGCATTTTGAATGACAATTGCACGGTCATGCAACACTGCACCCATATGAAATATTTATCATTTTTTTTCACATAAATAGAGCTTTCTTTTGGTGATATGTACTCACCGCCGGGTGTTTTATTTTTTGTGTTATAAACAAAAAAAGAGCAAATGTTGAAAAAAAAAGTTTTTCTTTGTTTCTATTATAAAATTTTGCAAACAGGTAATTTTTCTCCTTCACTGATGTGCGTTGATGAGGCTGCACTGATAGGCAGCACTGATGGGCACTGATAGGCAGCACTGATAGGCGGCACTGATAGGCGGCACTGATAGGTGGCACTGATAGGCGGCACTGATAGGTGGCACTGATGAGCTGGCACTGATGGGCAACAATGATTGGCACTGATAGGTTGCACTGATGGGTGCTACTGACTGATGGCACTGACTGGCAGCACTGCTGGGCACTGCTGGGTGGCACTGCTGGGCAGCACTAATGGGCAGCACTGATGGGTGGCAATGCTGGGCACAGGTGGGTGGCACTGCTGGGCACTGATGGGCACAGGTGGGTGGCACTGATGGACACTTGTGGACAGCACAGCTGGGCACAGATGGGTGGCAATGCTGGGTACTGATCATCAAGGCACTGATCATCAGTGCCCTGATGATCGGTGCTGATCCGTCCTCTGACAATTGCCGGTTATCGGCGGTAATTTCCTTAGGCTGGCCAGCCGCATTGTAGCCATCATTTGACTATTTGCGATCGGCAAGTGGTTAAACTATATTTTGAAAAGTGCTAAACTGACTCTAAGGCTCTAATGCAAACTAAAAGAATTCCTGTCTCTGAGCTCTACTGCATATGATAAATTTCTGCATATACAGTGGGGCAAAAAAGTAGTATTTAGTCAGCCACCAATTGTGCAAGTTTTCCCACTTAAAAAAAGATGAGAGAGGCCTGTAATTGGCATCATAGGTAGACCTCAACTATGAGAGACAAAATGAGAAAAAAAACCCAGACAATCACATTGGCTGATTTGGAAAGAATTTATTTGCAAATTATGGTGGAAAATAAGTATTTGGTCACCTACAAACAAGCAAGATTTCTGGCCCTCACAGACTTGTACCTTCTTCTTTAAGAGGCTCCTCTGTCCTGCACTCATTACCTGTATCAATGGCACCTGTTTGAACTTGTTATCAGTGTAAAAGACACCCGTCCACAACCTCAAACAGTCACACTCCAAACTCCACTATGGTGAAGACAAAAGAGCTATCGAAGAACACCAGAAACAAAATTGTAGACCTGCACCAGGCTGGGAAGACTGAATCTGCAATAGGCAAGCAGCTTGGTGTGAACAAATCAACTGTGGGAGCAATAATTAGAAAATGGAAGACATACAAGGCCACTGATAATCTCCCTCGATCTGGGGCTCCACGCAAGATCTCACCCCGTGGGGTCTAAATGATCACAAGAACGGTGAGCAAAAATCCCAGGACCACACAGGGGGACCTAGTGAATGACCTGCAGAGAGCTGGGACCAATGTAACAAAGGCTACCATCAGTAACACACTACGCCGCCAGGGACTCAGATCCTGCAGTGCCAGACGTGTCCCCCTGCTTAAGCCAGTACATGTCCGGGCCCATCTGAAGTTCGCTAGAGAGCATTTGGATGATCCAGAAGAGGATTGGGAGAATGTCATATGGTCAGATGAAACCAAAATAGAACTGTTTGGTAGAAACACAACTCGTCGTGTTTGGAGGAGAGAGAATGCTGAGTTGCATCCAAAGAACACCATACCTACTGTGAAGCATGGGAGTGGCAACATCATGATTTGGGGCTGTTTCTCCGCAAAGGGACCAGGACGACTGATCCATGTACAGGACAGAATGAATGGGGCCATGTATCGTGAGATTTTGAGTGCAAACCTCCTTCCATCAGCAAGGGCATTGAAGATGAAACGTGGCTGGGTCTTCCAACATAACAATGATCCCAAACATACCGCCCGGGCAACGAAGGAGTGGCTTCGTAAGAAGCATTTCAAGGTCCTGGAGTGGCCTAGCCAGTCTCCAGATCTCAACCCCATAGAAAACCTTTGGAGGGAATTGAAAGTCTGTGTTGCCCAGCGACAGCCCCAAAACATCACTGCTCTAGAGGAGATCTGCATGAGGAATAGGCCAACATACCAGCAACAGTGTGTGCCAACCTTGTGAAGACTTACAGGAAACGTTTGACTTCTGTCATTGCCAACAAAGGATATATAACAAAGTATTGAGATGAACTTTTGATATTGACCAAATACTTATTTTCCACCATAATTTGCAAATAAATTCTTTCCAAATCAGCCAATGTGATTGTCTAGATTTTTTTTCTCATTTTGTCTTTCATAGTTGAGGTCTACCTATGATGCCAATTACAGGCCTCTCTCATCTTTTTAAGTGAGAGAACTTGCACAATTGGTGGCTGACTAAATACTTTTTTGCCCCACTGTACCTGTCTGTGGTGACAATGTGTGTACAGCAGGGGCAGACTGACCATTCAGGCATTCGGCATTGCTCAAGGGCCCAGGGTCAGTTGGGGGCCCGGTGAGAGGCTCACTGGGAGCAAATCACTAAAGCGGCATCTTACCGCATCCGAGTATGCGGTAGGATACCGCATAACATTAAAAAAAAAAAAGTTAGAATTCACCAAAAAAATGCTATTAAAATACCGCATTAATTATTTTATCAAGTCATGCGGTATTTTAGTAGTGAAAACCATGCATTAATGTTTCAGCTGTCAGCTGGGTTCCCCACTGACAGCTGAATGGAAAAGAAAGAATTGCCGGCAATTAAAAAAATAATTTAAAAAACAACGTGGGGTCCCCCCTCCCATCCATACCAAGCCCGTTGGGTCTGGTATGGATTTTGAGGGGAACCCCCATGCCAAATTTTTTTTTAAATGTCGTGGGGTCCCCCCCCAAAATCTATATCAGACCATTATCCGAGCATGCAGCCCGGCAGGTCAGGAAAGGGGGGGCAAGCAAGCGCCCCCCCTCCTGAACCATACCAGGCCACATGCCCTCAACATGGGGGGGTGCTTTGGGGTTCCACCCCCAAAGCACCTTGTCCCCACATTGATGGGGACAAGGGTCTCTTCCTCACAACCCTGGCCGTTGGTTGTGGGGGTCTGCGGATGGGGGGCTTATCGGAATCTGAAAGCCCCCTTTAGCAAGGGGCCCCCCAGATCCCGCCCCCCCATGTGAACGAGTATAGGGTACATGGTACCTCCTCCCATACACAAAAAAAAGTGTAGTGCGAAAGCAGACAGGAGACAGCCATTGACAAATCCTTTAATAAAAGAAGAAAAATAAAACAATACCCCTGAAGAAGACCCGATGTCAATCACGATGCCTGCGCCGGTACCTGAAAAAAGAAAAAAAAAAGGCTCCATTCCCAACGTTGGCTCCCAGCCGTCTGCCTGCTCTGCTGGCTTGACAATTCTTAAATAAATATGTAAGGGGCGGGTCCACCCAGTGAAATCATGTGTGTGGCCCCAGCTCCTTAAGATATCATCGACCCAGCATGCCCCGATGATGACATCACAAGGGCCGGGGTCACACACGTGTTGTCCACGGGTGGCCCCGCCCTTTACATATTTAAGAACTCTTAAGCCAGCGGAGCATTGTGGTGTAAGTGACAGTGCGCTGTGAGGTTGACCAGTCTTTATCACAAGTGGGTGAAGAGGGCGGTGGTCTGAGACCTGCATTTCGTCACAATGATCACAGGAGCTGATGTATTTCACCCAGGCCAGACCAGCAGAGACTATTAGGCAAGTATTCCTGTGTTCTAATAGTTAATCTGGAGCTGCCCACAGCTTTTTAAATGTGTGTCTAGATCCCTGTGACATATGTATCTTTGTTCTATTGTTATTATTTCACATGTATACTGTCAGACAGCTGGGTGGTCACCTTCCAGTGTAGGCAGGGGTGGACTGACCATTTGGAAACTCAGGCACTGCCCGAGGGCCCAGGGTCTGTAGGGGGCCCCATGAGATGTCCCTGGTACCTTTTTCATAGGCTTTTTTGAGTTTGGGCAAGGACACAGGGGCCCCATGATCCCCTATTGCCTGGGGGCCCCATGAGTTGTCAGTCTGCCACTGAGTGTAGGTGAACCTGTTTATTGTAATACAGTTTATATTCAGCTCCTGGTGTTTTAGTTAACCCTATCCATTCTGGTCTGGCATTCTTTAGCTAGTTTTAACTCAGGACTCGATAACCAGCATAGTCCTGAGCAGGGTCGGACTGACCATTTGGAAACTCGGGCACTGCCTGAGGGCCCGGGGTCAGTAGGGGGCCCCATGAGATGCCCCTGGTACCTTTTTCATAGGCTTTCTTGAGTTTGGGCAAGGACACAGGGGCCTCATGATCCCCTATTGCCCGGGGGCCCCATGAGTTGTCAGTCCGCCCCTGAGTGTAGGTGAACCTGTTTATTGTAATACAGTTTATATTCAGCTCCTGCTGTTTTAGTTAACCCTGTCTATTCTGGTCTGGCATTCTTTAGCTAGTTTTAACTCAGGACTCGATAACCAGCATAGTCCAGAGCAGGGGCGGACTGACCATTTGGAAACTCGAGGACTGCCCGAGGGCCCGGGGTCAGTAGGGGGGCCCATGAGATGCTCCTGGTACCTTTTTCATAGGCTTTTTTGAGTTTGGGCAAGGGCACAGGGGCCCCATGATCCCCTATTGCCCCGGGGGCCCCATGAGTTGTCAGTCCGCCCCTGGTCCTGAGCCATGTTAGGCATTCAGTGACAACTTTCTGGTAGCTTGCATGATGCCACTAGGAACTAAGATGCAGAGTAGATAGGCTGACTCTGAATTACAGTGCCACACCATAGTTTCTGGAAATGAAAAGCTCACGAGGCTGGTTGGACAAAAGCTGGAGGGTCTCTCTGTCATTGCAGATCTTGTCTTCAACCGAGATGCCTGCTACATAGTAATCATCCTCAGGGGCCCCTGCTAATGGACTTTGCTGCAACATTCACCTGGAGGTATCTCTATTAATAACTATATATATAATAATATATATATATATTATATATACCCATGTATATGTGTACAATGCCATCAGGACTCCTTTTGGACCCTTTGCTGACAAAACCTGTCTGTACATTTTATGTATTATTATTTTTCTTATATAAAGCTTGTATTATTTACATACTTATTTGCATCTACAGTATATACTTATGGTTAATGTTATTAATGTTATATGCTGGTTGTAGTAGTTATTCTTCTCCCAATTGCTTTTATTAGATTACTTTAAAGGAATCCCCTCTGTTCGCAGAGGCCCTATCCTGGGTGGAGGCACTGTCAACGTTATTATCAGCCCCACTCTCCCACTTAGTAAAGGTTCTGGTTCTTTATTTACCTACAGGTTTAACACAATATCCTGTTTGGAGAGGGCTATTTCTCATAACAAAAAATAAAGATTTCTCTTGTCCAGAATGACAGAAATCACTCAATTCCCCCATCCTTGCTAAAACAGCATATGTAGATGAATATGTTTGCAGTGCCAATTTCTGTATTCTGACAACTGGCACCCATGGCTGCCTGAAAACCCAAACAAAAAATCAATTTATTTCAAGCCAATTGGTGCTAATAGGGCCAAACATAGATTGAATTTCATCCGATTTAGCAAAAATCGGACAAAATTCAATCCATGTATAGCCAGCTTAAGAGCATGGGGATGCCTGAACTTTTACTTCAAGTCCTGTCTGTGTTATATTCTGTACTGTGTACAAGTTACCTTTAAAATCTATTGCCACTGCATTTGTAAATTGTGTAATTTTAATTTTTTGGTAGCTTTAGAAAATTGCACAGATCCAAATGGAGGGGTCTTTTTTAACATCATTAACCTTAATGCAATTATAGACTTTATATTGTTTTCCTTTAAGGCTATCCCTGTGGATGTCAGTGGGTGTGTTCATATAAAAAGCACTAAATAATACATGTACTTTCTGTATTTTTGAATGTTCTACTGCAAGTGAACAGCTAAAAATAATTACATTTTGGGCAGGTTTACAAGGCATGGAAGTGTTTCAAAATGTCATACAGTGTTTTTAAATGTAACCACATTTAACTTTTGAAAATACATGTTAAACATTTACAACACACCAGCAGCAAGGTATACATATCTACAACTGCACATAAAGAAATGTGTACAGTGGTGAAAATAATTATTTGATACCATGCAGATTTTGTAAGTTTGCCCACTTACAAAGAAATGAAGAGTCTATAATTTTTATCATAGGTGTATATCAACCCAAAATCCAGAAAAAAACACATGATACAAATATATAAACGTAAAATATGCAGCGCTAACAGTTAAATCTTAAGATAGATGATAAAATGTACATAATATACATGTGCAAAAAAGGCAAAATGACTTGGTGCTGAAACCGGTAATTTGTAGCTATATCCAAAGTCCTGAAGATAAGGTGCATATATTGACAATGGTGCCAAAGTCAGTCTATCCCGTGGTGTCAGACAATATTAAAAAAACAATCCGTGACATCTGTGGCTGGAAAAGTAAATGTCGATTGCACTAACCAGATAGCACAATTTATTGCACATTGGAGTAAATAGAACCTACTCCTGGTCGTCTGGATCTGAAACACTGCAATGTGAATGATCACCAGGTCAACAGCATCCAGGTACTATGCATCCAATGACCGTGCGGGCTAAGGTCACTGTGTAGGAGCACCTCCCTAACATGTTTCGTGTGAATACACTTTTTCAAAGGGAGTGTGCCTACTATTGAAGCCTCCTATTTATAGTGAGTGGTGCTCTTAGTCTGTATGATGCGTTGGCATCATTTAAATCTTACTGCGCATGCACGGGATGCTGTATGGATAATTACTGCGCCGTGTGTGATGTTCCCGCATCATCGCGGGCCTCTCGCGCATGCGCAGTACGTGGTGGCCATTTTGCCAAAGTCCGTCCACTGCTAGCATGGATAGAGGACATCTCGAGGGCGAAGGTTCCATGTGGGATATACTTAAGGAGAAGCAATCTCCAATCAACATTGAACATTCAATAATGAATATATGCTGCATGAATCTAGCGATCCAGAGGATAAATAAGAGCTGTGAAGTAATAGAAGTTGGAATGAACAACTAAAGCTAAAGTGTAAGGACTAATACCAGAGGGGTTTTAGCTGGATATTCTTGTGGAACTACAGGTGCAAAAGGAACCTCTCGCCAGATGGCTCTATACTGCTGTGTAAAAAGGTGGAAATAGGTACAATCAATATATAAAACTGAAAACAGATATACAGAGATCTGCCTATAAATAATAATAATATCTATTTAAATCATAAAATATATAGATAAATATAGGCAATGATATAAGAGATACGATATGCAGATGGTGAGATATAATAGAAAAGAAGTGATATAACCAGTCCAATCGGGTCACATAATTTCAAATTGATCGACCCAATAAAAATCAAAATTAGAACATTAGTACATAAGCATGTAGGAATATGGAAAATATATAAAATATAAAAATATATATGGCTAGTGCCTAAAAAATGAATATAAAAAGGGACATCTAAAAATACATTTTTCCAATATAGTTAGAGCGATGGTGCCAAGATGTAGCAGTGTGTAAATATAAAAGATAATGGATAATAAAATCTGAGTGGTTGTATCAACATCAGAATAATATAAATATCCATTTAAAACTTATGTCATACATATGAAAGACAAAACATCTCTTATAAGGTTAAGATGGGGGATGTTCGATCATAGGCGGAATCCCATGAGGGGGTGTGATAAATATGTTGAAATTTGTATATAAAAATAAAAGGAGATAGCTAAAATGTGCGACCTAAAAACAAAGAAGAGATTAGCTAGTATCTATAAAGCAGTTAATGTCCAAATCTATGTTTAGCCCTTGTGGGGAAAGTGTTTGTATTAAAAATATCCATTTTGTTTCCAACACAGAGACAGCTCTCCATTTATATGTTCCTCTCCAATGTTTCTTTATTATATCAATACCCGTGAACCTTGGGGAATGTGGGTTTCTATTGTGTGTTTGGCGAAAATGCATAGACAGTAAAATAAGTATATATATTGCCATATATTTGAAATACTACAATTTTGGACATATTCAATATATTTCAATAAATAAAAATTATATATATATATATATATATATATATATATACAGTCAGGTCCATAAATACTGGGACATCGACACAATTCTAATATTTTTGGCTCTATACACCACCACATTGGATTTGAAATGAAACAAACAAGATGTGCCTTAACTGCAGACTGTCAGCTTTAATTTGAGGGTATTTACATCCAAATCAGGTGAACGGTGTAGGAATTACAACAGTTTGCATATGTGCCTCTCACTTGTTAAGGGACCAAAAGTAATGGGACAGAATAATAAGCATAAATCAAACTTTCACTTTTTAATCCTTGGTTGCAAATCCTTTGCAGTCAATTACAGCCTGAAGTCTGGAATGCATAGACATCACCAGACGCTGGGTTTCATCCCTGGTGATGCTCTACCAGGCCTCTACTGCAACTGTCTTCAGTTCATACTTGTTCTTGGGGCATTTTCCCTTCAGTTTTGTCTTCAGCAAGTGAAATGCATGCTCAATCGGATTCAGGTCAGGTGATTGACTTGGCCATTGCATAACATTCCACTTCTTTCCCTTTGGTTGCTTTTGCAGTATGCTTTGGGTCATTGTCCATCTGCACTGTGAAGCGGCGTCCAATGAGTTCTGAAGCATTTGGCTGATTATGAGCAGATAATATTGCCCAAAAACACTTCAGAATTCATCCTGCTGCTTTTGTCAGCAGTCACATCATCAATAAATACAAGAGAACCAGTTCCATTGGCAGCCATACATGCCCACGCTATGACACTACCACCACCATGCTTCACTGTGGAGGTGGTATGCTTAGGATCATGAGCAGTTCCTTTCCTTCTCCATACTCTTCTCTTCCCATCACTCTGGTACAAGTTTATCTTGGTCTCATCTGTCCATAGGATGTTGTTCCAGAACTGTGAAGGCTTTTTTAGATGTCGTTTGGCAAACTCTAATCTAGCCTTCCTGTTTTTGAGGCTCACCAATGGTTTACATCTTGTGGTGAACCCTCTGTATTCACTCTGGTGAAGTCTTCTCTTGATTGTTGACTTTGACACACATACACCTACCTCCTGGAGAGTGTTCTTGATCTGGCCAACTGTTGTGAAGGGTGTTTTCTTCACCATGGAAAGAATTCTTCAGTCATCCACCACAGTTGTTTTCCGTGGTCTTCCTGGTCTTTTGGTGTTGCTGAGCTCACCGTGTATTCCTTCTTTTTAAGAATATTCCAAACAGTTGTTTTGGCCACGCCTAATGTTTTTCCTATCTCTCTGATGGGTTTGTTTTGTTTTTTCAGCCTAATGATGGCTTGCTTCACTGATAGTGACAGCTCTTTGGATCTCATCTTGAGAGTTGACAGCAACAGATTCCAAATGCAAATAGCACACTTGAAATGAACTCTGGACCTTTTATCTGCTCATTGTAATTGGGATAATGAGGGAATAACACACACCTGGCCATGGAACAGCTGAGAAGCCAATTGTCTCATTACTTTTGGTTCCTTAACAAGTGGGAGGCACATATGCAAACTGTTATAATTCCTACACCGTTCACCTGATTTGGATGTAAATACCCTCAAATTAAAGCTGACAGTCTGCAGTTAAAGCACATCTTGTTCATTTAATTTCAAATCCATTGTGGTGGTGTATAGAGCCAAAAACGTTAGAATTGTGTC